ATGTTCTGCCACGTTTACCCCCATCTAGCCTTGTTTCCCCATGTTCTCCCACGTTCACCCTTATGTAGCCTAGTTAACCGATGTTCTGCCACGTTTACCCCCATCTACCCTTGTTTAGCCATGTTCTACCACGTTCACCCTCATCTAGCCTAGTTAACCGATGTTCTGCCACGTTTACCCCCATCTACCCTTGTTTAGCCATGTTCTACCACGTTCACCCTCATCTACCCTAGTTAACCCATGTTCTACCACATTTACACCCATCTACCCTTGTTTAGCCATGTTCTACCACGTTCATCCTCATCTACCCTAGTTAACCCATGTTCTACCACGTTTACCCCCATCTACCCTTGTTTAGCCATGTTCTACCACGTTCACCGTAATCTATCCTATTTAACCCATTTTCTGCCACGTTTACCCCAATCTACCCTTCTTTAGCCATGTTCTACCATGTTCACCCTAATCTACCCTAGCTAGCCCATGTTCTTCCACTTTTACCCCCATCTACCCTTGTTTAGCCATGTTCTACCACGTTCACCCTCATCTAGCCTAGTTAACCATTGTTCTACCACGTTTACCCCCATCTACCCTTGTTTAGCCATGTTCTACCACGTTCACCCTCATCTACCCTAGTTGACCCATGTTCTACCACATTTACCCCCATCTACCCTTGTTTAGCCATGTTCTCCCACTTTTACTCTCATCTAAAATCAATAAATTCCATGGGGCAACTATCAGACCGATAAACACTCTATTGTCTTTATTGTTCACCACTAAATTTTCTTCCTCGCGCTGAAAAACAGCCAAAACCCACTAAATGCAGATCAATCAAATATGAATTTATGCGTACAGCCTGTCACAAATGTCATTAATTCGCAACTGTACATTGGCTAAATAATACGTTATACCTGTCAGAATTGAAAAGTCATTGTTTTACCCATCTGCCTAACTTCGCGGCCGTGAAAGCTTTCAAATTTTTTCACTGATTTTCAGCGGACGGGCACTACGGGCCGATAGTGTCTCTCCACGGATTAACACTATCGCGTCTCGTGGCAATTTAAACCAGTACGAATCGGATAACATTTAGTGGTGAACTTTAATTCCCCTCTTCTTTGATACTTGCCTTCTATCAGTTGCTGAAGAAAAGAAGAAATATATCACGTAACAAAAAATCTACTTCCTGCTTCTCATACAAAAGGATCATTAGGCAATGATGAAAAAGCAAAACCGACTGGTAGTTGACATGTACGAGTGAAACTTACAGCAAACGTTCCACGTTTGGACTCCCTCTATGCGTGACTAGAGTATACACTCAATGAAAAATGAATCTAGTTATTTTTATCTTTTCGTATACTTTCTGCCTTTCAACCTCCACATTCTAATGGCAAACTATTCTTCAGCAATGAATTATAACATGAAGTTTCCATCCTCCATATTTAAATATTATGGATTTTTACCTGAAACTTTTGAAGACATCGGGTTCCCCTCTTTCTATAAACAGTGGACAAAAACTTCCTTTGGTCACATCGTTTGTGCAGATATGGACTTTGAGAACAGCGATGATTAAATCACTGTGATCTCACCTCACAGCAAAGTTGTAAAAGAAATGGTTTCTTCCCCTTTTTTCCATGGAATTCGTTTTCCAATTTAGAGTAATTTTATAATAACAAAGATGCACTGACGTTTCTTGCAGGATATAAAAACGTATAAAAAAGAGATTAGATTTCCCGGAACATGTATATATTAATAAAAATTTCTGAAATTTCCCAGTTTGAAGTTTACATTGGTAGATAAGAAATATTTCAGTGTTTCTGCTTGTAAAAGGCAATTGAAAGCGAGAATTCATGATATACTTTAATGTTACAAAATTATAACGAAGCGCGCACGTTGCTCCCTACTAATTACTGTGGTGAGCAGCAATGGTTTATATTCATATATAGGTGCTACCGTGCTGAAATAACATGAAACTGAAGTGAATAACTGCTTTTAGTAAAGACCACAGTTGTTGAATTGAAAGCGAATCAAAAAACTTCCCTATTCTTGTAAAATGTAACCGGAATTTTCAATCTTGCGCTCGTTTCTTGGCAGATGAATGCTACTCGGCTAAAAACCTTCGAGCGAGACAATGAGCTCGCAAAGAGAGCTCTATTCAATTGTGTGGCAATGCAGTGTTTATTATGAGCATGTATGTACAACATTTTTTTCTTACTTGGGTGTTCTTCCGTCAACATTTGTTGTCATGATGGGGAATGTTCTAGGAATTTTTCTCCCGTCGGTAACTCTTGGTGCCACCCTTGATAAATATTTAATATTATTATTAATAATCTAGCCATTTGATAATACTAAAGAATCTACACTTGTCTCAACATTTAAAAAAGAACATATTAAAGTGTAATATCCCAAATCAAATATAGAACAAGAAACCACCAAAAATAGGGAAACCCATTGAAATAGTTAAGATACAAATTGAAGGCTTACTTGGTTAAAGAGGGCTATTGCAAGTTGCTTCATTGTCGCACTTTTTTCACAATCATCCCAACCAAATGGAATGGATGTCTTGCAAACGGGATCCATTATCGCCTTGAAAGTCATTTCTTAAAAATAAAGTATTCAATACAGATTAATGGAAAGCACACATCTCCTACAACCTAAGTAAACCTGGAAAACTATCAACTTTAATGTCGTCATTGTCTCAGATGGCACCTGCATATGCGAGACCATAGAGCTTTAGATCAAAGATTTAGAATTAAATGTTTGTGATTTTGGTCTGTGGTTTGAATGGATTAAAATTTTATTTTTCTATGAAACCACATACTACCTAGTACCCATCAATTAATCTTCCATGCTGACTAGGGAACAGTCCTCTGAGACTCCTCCTTTGGCTATTCATTGATAAAACTTCCCCACTGGGACGAATGCAGTGTAAAAGAAAAAATAGAGCACGACATACCTAGTACAATATCTGTATTGCCAACAACAGAAAGAGCAGCTTTTAGTGCCGTCGTTTTGGCAGACTGTGGGGCTCCAAATAAGACAGGTAGAGCACATCCACCGAACTTCTTGACGACAAGGTCATAATTGGCCCCAATGGCGACACATGTGATGGTCATAAGACCTTGAGGGATATTATTAGCCAGCAGATTTTGTTCAGCCAAAATAAGATTCTGCAGAGCTTACCCGTCATCAATGGCTACAACATCACAAGAATTAGAACAAATGCAATTATTTCGTTGCTGTTACTATTTTAAGTGCATGTATATGTTATGTTAAGATTACTACTCATCTTCAGATTTTCTTCATTATCTAGATTTAAGATTTTTCTGGTGGCAATGCATACATGGGTATAATATTGCGCCGATAGAACGACATATGCCTTTATTTGTGTAAAAGGTACCTTTGCGTACATTATGCATGTAAGTCCTGAGTAACATACTTGTTATTCCGGTCAAAACAGGAAGGGATCTATCATCCAAACGGATGTAATTCTGTGAATCCCTTGGAATGACTCTTCCGGTATCATCAATGCGGATCGACTTGTTCAGGACCCAAACATCTGTGGCTTGCTTTCCAATCACCTGAATCCGTTCTCCTCAGTAAATAAAGTTTCCTTTATTTTCCTCCTGAAGATGAGAGCAATGAGCAACCCCTATCTGCAGTAATGATTTCATTAAAAATGCATTTGAACATGTTTAACTTTGTTGTGAGCAGTGTTTGTAACTAGATGTATTAACGTAGGGACAAGCATGTTTAAAAATTATCTTAAAAAGATCTTCACTCCTTCCGACTTGTAATTAACATGTGTAAGAGGGGGATACATCCTGGTTAAAAAAGGCTTAATTAGGAAAAGGAATGTAACCCTCTCGTGAGCAGCCGTTCGTGGGGAGGAGGGTCGAGTGACCATCCTAAAAACGACTGAAAGGAAGACAAGGACAGATGAGGGTGAACGTGGTAGAACATGGCTAAACAAGGGTAGATGGGGGTAAACGTGGTAGAACATGGGTTAACTAGGGTAGATGAGGGTGAACGTGGTAGAACATGGCATNTAAACACAAGGGTCCTGAGCAGAAAGTCTCTTTAGAGTTTCGACATGATGTTTTCAAGTATTTGTTTTGTGGAAAAGGAAGAACAGCAGCAGAGAAAAACTGGACTCTCTTAGAAGAGACTGACTTTAACAAATGTAAACTCCCAATTAACTGGAGTTGCATTTTTGATAGTCACGGAGATGGCATTATGGTTAGATTTCCTGTTAAAGTACGGAAATACCTGACATTGTCACCCAAATCTTATGAAAAAGTTGGTGACAAAATTGTGGAGATGCCAAGAGCATATATAGAGAAACTATCAATCAAATTTGTTAAGGTCCCTTCATCATGTAATTAATTAGTAGCTGTTTCAGTTGTGGGCCTTTTATACGATTAAACCTTTCTCTAAAGTTAAGTTAGGATTTTTCAATAATTGTAAGAAGTTCTTTCTTTTTTAATTTACTAAGGTTTTTCACTTTCAAGCCTCTTTCTTTGATGAGTTTCCTTAGCTGCGGAAGGGTCATTTTGTTGTAGTCTTCAGTAGGGCTTTCTTCACACATTTCCTCATCCAGGCTGCTACTGGGAGCTGACATTAGCCGCTGTTCTTTCCTCTTTTGGCTGATGCCAGCTTCCCAGTATTCAACATTTCGTTTTTTGTAAGTTGCCTTCTCCCTTTCATGATGTCGTAGCTCCCATTGTCTGCTCTCAGTATTTAAAATGTCCTTTGCAGCTTCCCATTTGTTTGACTTTTGAAATAGTATCCTTTTGGCATCGTCATTATTCTTCTCGACACCTTGCCCGGAAAATTTCTTGAAGCCTCCATGCTTTTCAATAAAAAATGGAATATGATAGGGTATGATGTGCATGTATGGTGTCACTCGGGGTCTCTCATACCCTGATCTCTTTCCTCGAAGTGAACAAAAAAGGTTTATCCATGACTTTGCTTTAGTGAAAATTGCTAATGAGTCATTACTGCTTATGTTTAAATCGGTAATAATGTTATATAATTCTTCAAAGTCTTTCCATATTTGTTGAACTGTTTCACATGTTTCTGGATAGAGGAATTGATTCATTTCAGAAGGCAGTACATTAAGCAATTTCTTTTTCTGAGAGCCAAGCAAACTTGTAAATTCTTTTACTTGACTCTCTGAGCCATTTGCATTTTTTTTATTCCAAACAGAAAAGGAAATCCCAAGAGTATTGATACAGTTGACCAGCTTTGTGAGATGTACTCCTTTGGGTGTTCCCCTTTTTTTGTTAAAATCCTCAACTGCATCCCTTTGAAGAACTTCATCAATTACATTTTGTAAAAGTTTGTCAGTAATTCGTAATAGCAAATGGAGCTCATCTGCAATTACATTCGTCAGAGAAATGTTCAGGAGAGGCTCGTTAATGCACCCATAATTGTTCTCCTTGCATTTACAGAGGGCCTTAATTTCCTCTAGTGTTCGCTGTAGGGGTTCTTGGTTGTAATAGTTTGAAAGTTTAGTTGTATCCCATCTATTATCTTTATGTATTTTGCACCAAAGACAAGCATAGTCAGCAGTTGCTGAGTTCATACCCATTGCCATCAGTAAAAATTTCATATCTCCACCCAAGAAAAATTTTATACTGATATCCTTGCCATCAACTGTTATTTGACCTTTCTCTATAAGATCATTGACTTCTTTGAAAAAGTGTTTGAGTGAGGTCTTCATTGTTTCATACTTTTCTGGACCATTGATTATCGCAACTGTTCTGTTGCTTTTTGAAGACATGACGCTGTCTTTACCTTGAAGAAGAGCAAATGAGAACATCATAAAATTTGTTGTTCGTGACATTCTTGCACCATCGCCACTGAGTTTGATTTGAATACAATCATCTTTTAGCTCTGGTTTGTTGTTAAGAAGTTCTCTGATGTGTTCCTCAAGTGTAGCAGTGAAATTTATTTTTGCTCCGGGATACTTCCCCTGTGTTTGTTCTATATGGTATGTTTTGTTTAGGTTACCTCGCAACTGTTTTACTAAATAGGATTTGGGTAGGTCTTCTGTAATCATTGTGAACTCATGATACACTTCATCACCCACACAGAATTTGTCCAATAAAAACAAGACTTGTTCAATTTTTTTCTTTTCCTCTTTCTGAAGATTTTCATAAGCTCCATGTGAAGGGGTGGGTTCCCAGTCCAAACTGTGTGCTCCTCCTTTTTCATCTTGCAATTTTACTTGAGTTAATTCAAGCCCAAAGCTTTTACAAAACCACAAAGCACACTGAACTTTATTCTTTAAATGGCGAAGCTTTCTCCCTCTTTGTTTTGTGCCCACTTCAGTGACCTTCTTTCCTTGGCATTTTAAGGATTCTTCTTGTTCTAAGGCCCCAATGTAATCAACTAACTCTTTGTTGACATCTGTAAGGTTTGTTATCTCTTCTTCTAGTTTGTTAATTTCTTTCTTCATTTCTTCATACAATTTCCTTTTCTCATTTTCTAAGTCACTGTATGCTTCTCGCCATTCTTCGATCTCTTTGTAGCTGTGCAAAACTTCAGACTTCAATGATTCAATTGACTCAAGCTCTCCCCTTCTAACACAGAGGCTATATGCTTTGCTGTCCAATTCCTTTCTCTTTCTTCCCGAGGTTTTCTTGTAAGAAATCTTCGCTGAGCTTGATTTTTTTCGAAGCAGCTCGTTCATTCGTTCATTTTCACGCTTCAAAGCAAACCATCCATCCACGACGGTCGCATTAAGTAGGTCTATGTAATTGATTTCTGTACCGGAAGTGATTTCAAGAAGCTCGCTCCACTTTCGTAAGAGGGGCAAAGGAATCTCCACACAGCACAAAAAATCGTACTGTGAGGCTGCTTCTCGTCGCACATACTCTAAAGGAAACTCAGAACTTAGCTTTAACTGCCATTCAATGTCTTTCCTTTTGTATTCGCTGAGCAAATCAGCCATTTTAAACCCTACTTTTAACCGGAAGTTGTGAAGAAACTTTTGCCGAATGAATTCGGGAATAAAGCATCTGTACGAGAGTAGCCTGAGACTTAGCTATCCCAAGAAACACTAGGGGATTTTGAAAACAAAAAACATGGCGACGAAAATCACTTTCCTCTCAACTTTTGCAGCGTTTTTCGATGAACATGTAAACAAAGGGGACTTTAAAAATGGTGGCACGGCTCCTTCGATGCTTCTAAAATTCATAAAATTCAATTGCTCTTGGAAGAACTTTGGCGTAGATGAATCAATCTACTACGAAAGATAGGGCGAAAGGAAGCTTCGTACAACTCATTTCGAACTGTGCACCATGCATTCTCCTCCGGGATCTCCCTGTATTTGTGGAATATCAAGATGACCTCCGAGGGAATTTTAAGAAGATGTATGGGGAAAAGGAGTAGAAATTGACCACAGGATTACATGCCTTAGGAAGAAGGTTAGAGTTGAATTTGGTACTTCTTTTCTTTGTCAATAACTCGGCTAGTCCATTTTAAATATGTTTCGAACTGTGCACAAGGGATCTACCGCATAGTAAGTAATATTTTTTCAAAAAGGTCTTTTTCCCCATACATGTTCTTAAGTACTTTCAGTGCCATTACTGTATATGATGCGCACGCGCGGCCGCCATCGTGTCCCAAATTTCTGGCAATGACTTGCAATGCACAGTGCTGGATAAAATAACTTTATTGCAGCAATACGAATTACAACGAAAGGCAAAGGTCTTTGGCACATCTCCACTTAGTGGGCGGTCGACAACCTTCCACTCAATGTAAAGAATAGAAATCTTGAGATTAATCTTTTGTAGGTTACTTGAAATTCCCCCCAAACTATGTTGCCTGATATACGTGAGCATTCTGTAAACACCACGCAACATCCGAATTGGGGAGAGGAGAAGATCAATAAAAGTAAGAGAAAAGATAAAAAAACAATGCAGCGTGCCAAGACTTTTGCCACTCATTGTCGGTATCAATCATAAAAGTTAAAGTTGCATAGCGCTTTCCTCATGTGTTACATTTATACTTTCAAGTATAGATGCATGCAGCATGAAAAGGAGGTTAATGTAGTTTTAAACAAAGCTTTCCCCACTAATAAATTATGTTCCCTGGATATCAATTTGGTCTTCTTGAGGATAATACTGCATATTACTAAAATGTAAACATAAGTATACCTGGTAAAGAGACATAAATCTGGATTTTTGTTGCTAATGAAAATGATACCCAGAAAATTCATTAATTTTTCACTGCTACATAATGCCAGAACTATTATGGACAAAGGTGTCCAATCTGAATTCCACTGGGTAATGTAAAGCCAGAAATCGGAAGGCAATTTAAGGATATAATGATCACAAACATGCTTGTATAAACCAAAAACATATTAAAATGAACAGCCATGCGCCAAGGTTACTGGCTATTGCTGCCAAGTGTCAAAACAATAGCTTATACTTAACCTACCTACAGTAACCATAAGCTTCACTGTATTTTTTCCTACCACCTTAAAAATTAAAAAAAAAAAGTTGTGAAATCAATAGATCAATCAAGTGGCCCTGTATTCTGTAACAGTAGTGGTTATTTAAGATGAAGGAAGAGAATGTGCACTGCTGGTGCATGCTGTGTTTTGATATTTAAAAGTTAAACAGCCTTTAAAAATTAAATTTTTTTGCTTACCTTTTGAAGCGCCACCACTGTTATTCGTCACAAAGTAAATACAGGACACTACAATAATGACGATGACTACGAGAACAAATGCAGTACATCCTCCGGTGATACCCCATAATTCGCTTGGTGTCAATCCTGAGGTGCGAGCGCCAGCTGAAGAATTTTGTGGTTCCTCTGATGTTGTTGAAGAAGAGGAGATGGGTAATGGAGTACTTGTAGAGAGAGCATTTCAATCTTATCAGCTAAAAGAGAGGTAAGAAAGCCAAATTAATATTTTTCGATGTAAGGAATCGACAAATGTTTCCCGAAATGGGGCCGGCTATCGATGCAGGCTCAACGAACATGGTATAACCAATTACATGAATTAGAAGTAGCTTTCTAGAAACATCTGTTACGAATTTGTTTTACTTTTATTTATCGCAAAGATATTTTACTTGAAGTTGACGTCATTTTGCTGTCAATTTTTTTAAAGCTCTTAGAGGGCACATTAAATATGATGCAAACAAACCATCCTTAAAAAGATATCAAACTACTGTGGATGGTCTCGCCAGGGTGCCCCTTTAAAAAATCCTACAACAACTACTATTGGGCAAC